ACTATCTTTAAAATATTGATTTTTTAATTTTGGGTTGGAAAAGTGGGGGGCGTCTTGTACACGGGGGCGTCTTATTGACAGAAAAATACGGTACCTTTCTGTGAAATCAAACCTTTGATCAAATGTCTGTCATGTATTTGATTTTATTGTTGTGATGTTTTAAGTTGCTTTAAATCCTCTGTATATTTATACTGTACTGTTACAACTGAATCTTTACAGTAGAAAATAAAAACTATTTTTAAACGAGGAAAGATACTGTACTAACAGTCACACACTGGTGTATTTGGCTGCTTGCAGCATAAGACTGAATTGGTTTAGCTCTCTTCTAGATTCACTCTCAGTGACCAATATAAACTGGAACCGGTCAGACACACAGAATAATCCAGTGACTCAATCATTTGCAACCTCCCCTATAGTATTAACTATACCTCTCCTGGTCTCCAGCACATGACCACATGGAGAGCACAGGTTGGGAAGGCTGCAGAAATCCATGCCAGAACTGTGACATGTTTATTTCTGCTCTGTCTGTGGTTATAGCTATAGCCTCACAGCCAAAGCTGTAGAGCCACACAAAACTATAGCTTAATACAGAAAAAGAGCAACAAAAATCTTTTGTTTTCCAGTCCTACTAGAGAAACATTATGAAATAATATGCCCAACTAGTACTATTTCTTAGATGTAGCCCCTCTTTTTTCTTTATTTCTTCCTGAAATCTTTTTTTTTTTTTTTTAGTGTTTGACGAAGTTATATTCCTTCCATTTCTTTCCAGAACTGACAGCTGTAACACTTCTGTCTCTATTGCCACTTTCTTATCTACTATATTTACCTGAAAGGGAGATGACTCAACCTTCAGGCATAAGGAAGATCACATAGGTAAAAAAAAAATCTGCCTCCATTATCATCTCTTGTTGTATCTAAGATGATCCTCCCATTTCAAAGTTACATTATTTGGGGGAAACCCATAGCTTTCCTTTCAGGTAAATACAATATAAGAACCCAATCGTTTCCTAGAACTGGCTGCAAAATTCAGGAGGCACTGCTTTTCTCACACCTCCCATTAGAATGCCATTTCCATAAACTAGAGACAGCTCAGAATCCAGACAACACTCTACTAGTTCTTTGGTCAAAGGGCAATAACTCTGCATTTCTTTCAAGCAGGAATTCCTGTCTTGCTGCCCTTCAGACAGGACAAGGAGGGGTGTGCCACCTTAAGTGAAGCAAGTGGGTGGTCTGGTCCAAGAAGGCTCCAATGGAAGGCAGCCAGGTCCTCATCTGGAAGAATGTGGTTCCCTGTGAGTGGGGAAGGCACAGTAATAAACAGTCAGCAACAAACAATGGAATTCAAGCCTCCCCAAAATGGAAATAAGCAGAAAATATTACAGAATTTAAAGTTAAAATTTAGCAAATTATGTTTCACAAGATGAGAAAAATTTTGAATTGTACACAATACACCGAGTATTCCAGGTCTGAAACTCTACAAACAGAACATCTGTACTCTAATATTGAAGTAACATACTTCTGAGTACAACAAAGTAATTTAATTATGTTGTTTTAGCTGAAGCTGAAGCTCTTATTTGGCTAGTCAGTCTCCATAAAAATTTGGTTCAATTTGAGACAGTTTCAGATTATATTCTGGGTCAGCAGCAAGAATTTAATGCACACAATACTGCATGAAGATCATGCAGAATATGGTGGAGATGCACCTACTCCAATGAAATGACTGGAATTAAGATCAGGGATTTTACAAATGGGACATCCTTGCCCTTGAGAATATTCCAAGCCAGCTGCAACCTATTTTTTTTCATCTGACAACATGGAAAAAAAGTTATGCTCTTTCACATACATTACTAGCAAGAAAAAACAAATTAGCGCACACTGAAAAGTTGCATCTTTCCAGTCACTGTAGCTTTATTAAACCACAGTTACAACAAACTATAATCTAACATGATATGTAAAATCAGTCAGTTTCAACTTACCTAGCAAGGCAGCAAATATAGGAAAACTGCTCAGCTTGAGACCCAGCTGCTTGGCAACCTCTTGCATGAGGAATTGGTTAGTGGTAAGGTTTTTGCCATTCCAGCTCAGTTTCAGAGCATGGGAACTATAGTAGGAAGGTATGTTGCAGAGAGCATATTCCGAGTCATGGGCAATTAGCCCATGAAAGCCATTCTCCCGAAAGAAAGATACTACTTCCTGATGATGATCCTCCAGACTCTGGAACACCTGAAAGGAGTAAAACACCAAGGCTGAGTACAGAGACATAACAAGGGCAAATTTCTTTGCCTTAACTTGTAAGTAAGAACTTGCTTTGGGATAATTCACGTATTAATTTTATCTTCTCCTCCTGCTTCCCACTCTTCGGAAAATGGAAGTTGTGGAATATGGCATGGGAATACCCAAAAGGCTTTTACAGCAAAATACCTGAGGGTCATGGAAATATTTCAATTATGTGATGCTTTGCAAATCCTAGCAGAAATGGGGTACTGTATAATCTCATGTTAAATTCAGTGCAGATATAGTACTAAGGCTTAAAAAGTAGAAGAATTGGAATGGTAGGAAGAAGAAGGGGAAGGTTTGGATTGATTGAGTCAAAATAAGAAAGAAGAGTCAAAGAGCGTGAGACTACTTAAATCAAAGTTACGAGATTGGACAATTATATGTCTGTATTAAATCAAATTCCTCTAAATTTAAAAAAATACCCAATATTTCATTTCATATTTGAAGCCAAGATCATATGAATCAACAAGTATAGAGTTAAATATTTTCTTTGACATGTTTTCCCTGCGGGTGAGAGAGGGAATAAGAGTGAGAAACCTAGACACTGAAAGAAATTAAAGAAAATATCAAACAGGGGAATTAATAGGAAAGCATCATTATTTATATACTGTGTTTCAAATCAGGGTATTAAAAATAGATTAATGTATATTTTATTCAATCCAATAAATTATAAACTCCAACAGATATTGTTCAATTCTTTATCATAAGATAGTGTTGTCTTTTTTAGAAGCTGAACAAATTCATGGAGGAAAGTTTTCCAACATCCATGAGTTGTACTAAGCAGATACCTGTAGTATTCAGACATATGGCCCATGAACATCAGATGATGGGGGCAAGCTAGTCTTGTGCCTTCATCTGAGCCCAGTAAGCTTGAGAAAATCTGCACTCCTCTTCTTGTTGATATGCTGCCCTGGCTGGTGAACAACCATTGCTATTTTGTGTGTTCAGAACTTTTTGTTTGTGGTAGACTATTTGTGTGATGTATGTATGTTTGGTGGGGTTAAAAATCAGAGCAATCATTAGAAATAAGCAACTAAAAACACTGGAGTATATATTATTTTTATGCTACCAGCTTTTACAATTATCATTTTCTTCCTCAGCTAATAGTGGAAATACAGACATTGAGAATGCCGTTCAAAAGATAACATAACTTTGGTTGTAATGCCCGTTACAACCAAATTATAGTCCTAGTTGAAAAAAGGCAGGATATCAGAATTTAATCAAAATCCTAAGAATGAAAATTCAGAAGAGCAAAAGACTGGGGCTCTTGAAGTCTCATTATTATGATGGCCATAATAATACTAAATATTACAGAATAAGGCCTATGCTTCAGCTTAAAAAACACAAGCTTTTGCTTTAAGAACTAAAAAAAAAAAAAAAAGATTTAGAGGAAACTGAAGGGACATTTCTTCTAAAAGTTTTCAATAGTATAACATCTCAGTGGGTGGTCTAGCAGAAGGTATATACATTTCATAGTGCATATTCCATTCTCTAACACTTTGCATTCACACACACTGCTTCCAGCTCCTTTAAAAGTATAACTTTTCCCACTGTCCACCCAGCCCACAGCACTGGAAACAAAATAGGTCTAGGTCTAAGGACAGAATCACAAACAATTAAGTGTAACATGCAAATACAGTGAAAGACTTCCAACTACAGATTCTGAATCTGAACTACAGTACATGATTTGGGATTCCTTGGATGCAAAATTTCAAATAAAAGGGGTGGCGGGGGGGGAGCTATAATCATTTACAGGTAGTCTCCAGGCTAAGAACACCCGGATTACAGAAGACTACAGAAGACTATTTATATAGTGTTCCGGCTTAAACACAAATTCGACTTAAGGACAGACCTTGGGAACAGAACTCATTCTTAAACTGGAGACTACCTGCAATACACTTAAAGACAAAGAAGTCTGTGAAAACTCGGTTTCCTTCATTCTTCTCCACACCTCTAAATACAGATGATCTGAGTCAAAAGAATTACTTCAGAGTCATTCAAAACATGAACATACCCAATGGGTATTTTAATTTTCCTTCCTTCCTTTTTCACATTCCCCAGTTTGAACAGCAGACACCATGGTATAATAATCTGCTTTGAAAGTCCCTTCTTTCTAGTATCAAATCTGACTAACTATGTCATATGGGAGTTGCTATTAAATTGACCCAACCAAGAAATCATTTGTACATGTAGAACTGGTTGTTTGAGTCTCTAGAACTTAACCATACCAAGAAAAAAAGAAACAAGAAATCCTAACCTGTAAAATATAATGCTATAACTAACTTTAATTATCAAAATCTAAAAGAAATCAGTCGCTTCCCTCACCAATTTACTAGAAATATATCCCCAAATTGAACATATTTATTTCCTCCTGATTTCAAGTTGAAAAATTGAAGTACACATTTTAGTAAAGAAGTGGTTCAGTTGGCTAGACTACACCCAATATTTTAAAAATATTTTTCTAAATGCTCAAAGTGGCACTGTAAACACATACATGCAAACAACTGATCATATCCTAAGTAACTTGTATCTAAAGCCCTTACATTTCAGGTCAGCTGCTTCTACTGCTTCTTCAACCTCAGCGGATTTCCAGGCCTTTGCTTGCAAATTCACACTTGGCCTCAAGCAGATTATAGATAACTATTTGATAAAGACTAATTAGGATGGCTGATTCACTGAGATATATGTCAATAATATCTATCACACACAAATGATAGGATTTACAATGCATCTGGGTTTAGTTGTGAAGACAGTGAAACTCCAGCTCCCCATGGGCATGTGATTCTGCAGCACCGGTATTCTTCAAATGTGAAAAAACTTGTTGATCAGCCCTTGGAAAAGCCTGATAACAAGAACCTATAAGTCCTAAATGTTGGATATACAATGACTTTAGGCTTGCCTTTACTTGCTTTGCATCTAAATTTTAAAGTGTGTGCATATGCGAGAGAGAGAAAAAATCTGGAATTCTCAAGATTTAACAAACATCTTGTCTTCTATGATACACCAGTTCTCCAATGGTACATTTTGTCATCTTCTAACACTATAGAATAATTGAAAAGCAGGAGCAGGAGCCACACCTGCTTATGATCACCCGCTGATTTGTGGCTGAGGGGCAAGGATTAGCTGGCTCCCTCTCATACCCCACGAGGCTCCACCAGCTTCCCTAGGCCAACTCATACTTATTTTCACTACACTTGATGCTGCCACTCTAGTCTATTTCCTTTCCTTTCTTTCTACAGTATACCTTGGGTAACAGCATCTCAGCTCCTCCTTCAATCAGTCTTCTTCTTCTTGTACAGATTATTAGAAATAATAGAAAGCATATTCCAAAGCATATCAGTGACTCTTCCTGATTCACCAAAGATGAGAATTCCAGTCAGCATGCACAAGCACAACATTGAAATTATACCACACTGTAAAGCAATTTGTCAATCTTTTGTTTTTCTTTAGTGTGTTGCTGTTATATCCCATGCTGCAGGGAAGGAGCAGGAGAGAGAACAGGAAACTATGATAACCCAAAGCTTTCTTGCACATTTCAGCCAATATACTTCTGCTATTTGCCCACAACTAACCACAGATAGCCTACTACAGTCAATTAAAAATGCTAGTTCTGACATACAAAGTCTTACAAGGTGTAGGTTCAAGTTTCTGACAGGACTGGCTACAGTACTTTTGTGCTTTCATGAGCACATCTTCTGCAAGTCCCACCATAGATGATATGTCTAACATCAACAGTAAAAACTTATTTTTGCATGGTAGGGAATAAATGTGCTGAGTTGAGCACATTTATTCCCCTCCCAATTATACTTTAGAAGTGGACTTAAAACCTATTCTTTTAACGCAGCCTCTTAAAGTGTTCTAAAAAAATCTTGTCCTGCTGTTTTTTAAACGTTTGTGTAATAAGCTGATCAGAATAATTCAAGAGTGGGTAGTATATATACATTTTTTTTTAAATAAGAGCTATAAATTCACCATACTGTATAGCAAAGTATCTGAACAAGCTGAATAATGTAACAATTATTTTACAGCAGAACTGTGCTAAGTCAAAAGCTGTGGATATTAATCCTGATGATTAACAGTTACTTGCAGCACATACTTTTTCCTCACAACAGAAATCTATTGAATCAACAAGATACCCAAGCATACTTTAGGTGCTAAGAAATACAATGTTTGGTTATTTCTAATTTCTAAATACAGTGTTTGGTTATTTCTAATTTCAAGCATCAGCTCTATTGCAATTTAAAAATTGTTAGTTTTTAATTCCATCTAAACACTAAACAAGAGACAGTACACTTATGATTCAGATTAGCCCAATCTATACTTTTCTTATTCAAAACATAAATATTTCAAGACTTTCTTATAAGAAAATAGAAAACTGCTTTTAGTTCAATTAGAAAGAAAATGTTGCAAAATTACAGAAGGCTATAAAGTAAGATATTTTGCTTCTTTCAAGCCCTTAATTGTTCTGGATTTATTTAAACATATGATGCAAACATCCTTGTCGTTATTTTTGCTCCAAAGAGACATGTGTGTCATTACATAGATTATGCTGAGAAGATCTGCCCTGCACAGCCTTGAATTAATACATATTTTTCTTTCAAATGAATGTAAGATGAATACCAGTCACTGCAGCTTCAGAAACATTAACAAACACTCATTTTGAAGAAAGGAATAATTTTACACTTTAAAAATTAAGGGACATTTTTGTTGTTAGCATGCCATGGAGAAAAAACACACTATGGCAGGTTTATAATCTGAACATGTGATTCAGAAAGTAATGGTATAAATTTGATAAATAGCTGCTCACATGAGTGCCTTGAAGTACGGAAGAATTACTTCCTGTTGATAAATCAAGTTTTATTCTTAGGCAAAAGTGTATTATTTCAGAGTGGCAAAAGGCTGAAATGGTAAAAACAGATGTGTTATGTGGGACAAGATAGCACAAAACGTGCAGATTCCTTTACAAGGTAAACTATGAACTTGAAAGGGGATTAACCACATGCTGAGAGATGCAATGTTTATTTCTTATATGCACCTTGATTCAGATACTAGTTTTCTCATAACAGAACTGGAAAATAGCCTGAAGGACAATTGAAGAGCAGACATAAGGGATTTCAGCAACATAAATGATAAGGAAGGATCCTTAAAATTAGTAGGAATGCTTCAGGACTGCCAGTCAGAGAAAGCAACAAAAGCCATAAAATTTTGAAACTGAGTGAAGCTTGGAAATAGTGTTGCTGCAAAGAAACAAGACTTCACTAGAAATATTTAAATATTTATAATATTTAAAATGTACACCTAGGGGGAGAAATACAGTAACACAGAAGTGCAAGATCCAAAAGAGATGGTTAAAACAGAAGAAACAGAATTCTATGGGATACAATAAAAGTATTCAGGATTACCACAGAACCTTACCTTAACCCGGAATCGAATCATGGCCAGACGTACACAATGCCCCAAGCAAGCAGGAGGAAGAAACCAGGCTCGGGGTGGCGGGGTACCTTTGTTGCCCACATGCCCTGCAATTAGCTGAGCTGTCTGTCTCTCAGCCTGGGCCTTCCTGGCCCACTCAGGCAGCCTCTCCTTTCCAAGCCCTCCATTGAAGATGACAGCTAACTCCAGCCCACCTTGGTAGAGGCAAGCCTGTGAAAGGGCAGCCAGGTAACCCACCATCGCATTCCACTGGCCCCCACACACCCAGTCTGTCTGGTAGCCACCGTACAGACGCTGCAAAGCAGAATCAGCATCCACCAGAAGCCGAGCTGGGCATGGTGCTGTGGGTGCCAACCCTCCTGCATGCTGGGAGTGTGGATAAGGGCTAGCACCAACCATGGGTGCCAGTCCAGGTGCAGCCGCAGCAGGATGGGGGTAGCCAGCTGCTGGGTGGAAGGTGGTACAGTAGGCAGGGCCCCCGCCTCCACGGCCCCCTACAGCCCGTGCCAGCTTCAATAGGTCCACGGGCACCACTGCCCCTGGGCAACGCTTTTCCACGAACTCTTGGAAGCCTTGCACCCCCATAGCTGTGCACAACTGTGGGAATATGGCCCACTTCCAGTGGGGCAAACGGGGAAGGTTGTGGGGCTGGCACCCCGAAACCAGGACCTGGCACAGTCCAAGCTGCTCCAGCTCCTGGGGCTTCGCTTCTCACAGCTCCCAGATCTGAGGAATGGATGCAGCCGCCATGTTGTAGCTTTCTTCTTCTCCTCCTCCTGGTGCCTCCTCCTTTTCCTCAGTTTAAACAGTAGCTCATCGGGAGTTGTAGTTTTATTTTTATCCGCTATCCATTAGTCAGCGATTACACCACAGAATGGGACTACAAGTCCCGGAAGAACACAGCGAACCGCCATGTTGTCAAGTTTTCTTCGCGGGTTCCTGGCGTCGCATAGATTTATGGGGTTTGTAGTCCCATTAAGAAAAGGATTTCCCGTAAAATCTATGTAAGTGATGGAAAAAGTAAATTGAAACTACAACTACCGAGGATTTCAGAGGTCCGCCATATTTTTTGAAAGAACCCGTCTTCCGTGACGTTATCCGGCCGCATGCTAGGTGCGGAAGTCGAGAAATTATTCCAAACATGGCTTTGAAACTACTACAACTTCCAGCAATCTCCGCGCATTAACGTAAATCCTTCCCACATTTTTTTGTCTCTGCCACGTAGGTGCTCGAGAGTGTTCCCCTACCTCCCCTCAGAAGTATGACATAGTTCTAGCCTCGGGAGAGAACGAGACAGCCTGCCAGGACGGGAAAAAAAACCCGGCAAGCTATTCATTCGAGCTGCACCACCGCCATATTAGCATGGTGCTTGGCATGCTGGGGGATGTAGTCTGTCACCGCTTCACTTGGTATCAGAAGCGCTCCTCCTTGCTGGTCCCCAGAGCGTCGTCTCGGGCGCCATGTTGAGAGGGAGAGTGGCGTTATTTTTAGCCCTCCTCTATTCGCGTCCATTTTCTTAAAACTCGCGGGGTCTACCCGATCCTCCCATGCAGACGTGTTTTCTCGGACGTAAATCCCCCAGAAGGCGGCGGAGCTGGTTCTCACATCAGCCTTCGCCCCATCTGCCGTGTTCAGCGAACGCGGGAGGCTAAGCTGGCAAGCTAGAAAGAGCCCTACGGAGCGTCTTGCTTTGGGCGCCAACCCGTCGCGCAGAGCAGCGCAGGCTCCTGTTGCTGCTGCTGCCGCCGCCAGCAGCACCCTGAGCCGAGCGGCTTTTCGCCGTGTTCCGGCCTCGAAACCCTTCGACGCGAGAGGCCATCGGAGCCAGCGGCACAGCCAGCCACCGTCCGCGCCCTCCGCATATATTCCCTCCCGGCTCCTCCACACCAGACGACCTTGGAAATGGACGTTTCGCTTTAAAAGCTTCCAGCGAATGAAACCGGGGAAGGAACTGGCATTTTCAAATAAAGCTGATGTCAGAAGCAGCACGATGCGCAATAGCTAAATGAGAAGAATGTTTCAACGCTTACAACCCTTTCATTATTATATTTTTGTAATTATGCTAAGCTGCTTTTGATACTGAACGCTGCCCGGAGTCCAGCGCTTTACCAATATGAGAGAGAACTTTTATTAACCCACCAACCACTCAAAACCATCCGGAATAGGGCAGAATTCCCAGGACCCACCAATTATTATTACTGTTCTCATTTATCTCTAGTACACCTCACTGCTTCTGACCTCAATTTTATTTTAAATAGGCCTGCTCCAACCCATTCCATTGTGTTCCAGCTTTTACACCATCCTTCAATTAAATTCAAAGACTTGCTAGCTAGCTAGCTTCTGGATTCCTTCCACCAAGAATCTACCCATGTATGGATTCCCATACAGTATGGTTTGGTTTGACTTAACACGTAAGCACAAACTCAGTCCCTGAGGATTGTAAACTGTAACTGCTTAGCATAAGTGAATTACATATATATTTAATTACTCTTGTGTAACTAAATTCCAGAGAGAAAGCCATTTAAATCGACTGTACCAAAAGCAATGAAGGCTTTGCAGCACCTTAACAAGAGATTCATCAATCTTGTACAGTATGTAAGAACAGTGTAAGGTCCATGGCAGAACTACCACCCACTAAATCTTGCCATGTTCATGTTGGCATCATGGCAAAAGTGGTGACAGGGAGATAACTTTTTGCTTCCTGCTTTTGCTGGCAGCTTGCCTTTGAAAATATCAGGTTTATTTAGTTAATTTTGTGAGCTTGTCTAGAGAATGAAGGATTCTCTGAAGCTGACTGTCAGTCCCTAGACAGGGAAGTACATATTAGTGTATAACAACAATTTCACCTTCCCAGATTACACACCTAATCTGTCATGTAAAAGTGAGATGGGTTGCTATGTAAATTGAATAAATAAATACAATTACAACCTTAGAAAGGTATGATTTCTGCTGTAAAAATGCATTTCAAAAACACAGAATATTAAATGTGTTTCCTATTTTAGCAATTTAATAAAGACCAGGCACTTTTTTTTCCCAACACAGCCTTTATTTTCCTTTGTAACAGTTTAAAAAAATATTTGTTAATGGTTGTGTACAAATGAAGTCAACTCACAGCTTGCAAAAATAATTAAAAAACACATGGAAACAACTGCTGATAAAAGACATTCTTTTTCTACCATAAAGTTTTAGGGCTATGGTTTTTTAAAAACTGAATGGGATGCCTCATCCAATGAACAGGTCACCCACATTCTCTGTGCAGCCATAAACATCTCAGCCTTAATGCCAAGTTGGTGGGTTGAAAGTAAGTCCTATGATGTTACATTAAGATATAATTCACATAGAGACATAAGAAAATTCCTATTTCTGAAAGTGAAACATTGCCAACGGATGTAAATCCAAGGAGACATTTATTCACAGCATATACCTGATCATGTTGTTATACATTAGGCCCACATGCTCCTCAGTTACTTCTAGCAAAGAATAAAGAAAAAAAAAGCAAACAGGCCTCTCTTCAAATAGGACACTTTTTAAAAAAATTGAAAAGTCTTTTGTTGTATTAGAATTTTTAGAACCACAGCACTTCCAAGGTGGTTGCCACACCATCTAGTAAGGGATTCTGTGTGGCCAAAATTAACTATAACAATGAACTACAAACAATATCCTGCTTTAAAAGGTGGAACAAATGCTGATTCCTGGAAGTAAATTAAATCCTCAGCAACGAGGAGTGAGATACAATAAAAGCCATAGTCTTCTGGTCTACTATCCAGTCGTTCATGTACCTAACTTCATATATAATAAAACTTGCATGTACATTGCTACAACTTTCAACCATACTATTTTCCTTCCCACTTGCAGTCCCTCTGCATTTACCATCCTCTATCAATGGAAATGAGAGGGAAAAACAGCTTATTAAAATGCTGGACAAATAGCCTCAAGGGATCAGCTGGAGGTCTAACAGGCAACAACACATTCAGACTTCCACAGAGCTTTTTGCAATTCATTGCCTATCACTGAGAACTGCTTGGTATTTGATACATGGGTCATTTCACTATAGGGAAACAGTATGCCATATTATAAATTATAAGGTACTTGCTGTATCTCCATTCCTGTGAGAATTGGCTTCCCAAACCATGCTTTATTTCCCTTGCAGCCAAAGAAATAATGACATGAACAATTTAGGAAATGTGTCCTATGATATAGTTATTGTAACGGGGGGAACAAGACTTATTAAGAGGTGATCAAATTCTTCCAGCACGCCAAATGCCAGAATCACTGCTGATTTAAATTGGCTCAGTTCCATTAAAGTCAAGGAGACATACTTGTATAAGCACAAAGAAGTTAGTAAAAACATGTATTATGGTAAGACTTGTTCATTTCAGTTTAATTCTAAGGCAGCTAGTAGTAGAATCATAACATACATTGTATATATTGGGAACAACTGTACAAATGCAATATGGTATTTGGTTCTGAGAGCTAATTATGCTACTCAAAATTATCAAAATTCTTTTTTAAAAAAGGAAAATGATAAGAGTTTGGTTGATCCCCTTTAGCCGTATACGTTTTGAAAGTGACATGTTAAACTGGACTTATAAACTGAAAATTACTATTTTAAATCAACTGGTTTACCTTGAAAATTTAGTCCGGAAAAATGACAGAATTTTTACAGCAATGCTTCTGAGTTCAAGAATTAAAAACAGGAATATATGAGTTTATTGCCTAAATGCTGTTCAGGTTTTGTCTCCTGTGACATAGACACTGTGTAAAGTGTCTATGCCAGTAAAACACCCCTGATCCTTTAAACTTTGCCAAGACATGAATCCATGTTTGGTGTTCTCTATCCCTCTTACACACAGGTTCCCCATATGAGTCTTAATCTCAGCACAAATTGTAATTGTAGTTTACAAGGAATTCACCAGCAACCCATGTTTTTAGCATTAAACATGCTTGAATCTAGGGCCAATGTAAACTGAAAATACAAATAAGCTTAACAGAACGGAAGGATGAAAGGAATTTGTAGCTGGGAGTTTTTAGGATAAAGCTACAGCATGTATGGTCTCACTCCTATTGATCCATCAACCTCAGAAGAGCTAAGAAATGTAACACTGACATGACCTAAGTAATATAGTTTGTCTACAATCCTTCCAAGACAGCACATTTTTTGTTTTTCCCACATACATGGTGGTACAATGGGTAATGGAAGACGAATGAGGCAGTGGGTCATACTCCTTGCTAAGCTGCTGTAGCCAGTTGGAATATACACTAGAAAAAATGCACGGAGTTGTTCTTTTCATTCATCTGTCATTATATGTTACACTCAAGTTGATGGATAAACTTCTGAAGTCTTCTTTGTGAACATTAAACATCCTCCTTAAAACAGCAAACAGAATGAGCTGCTTGTGCCAAGTTACAAGAAGAAATTAGGAGAGTGAGAGGGAAAAGCATGTGTGTCAAAACACTATCTGATTTAAACAGATGGAAACAGTAGAACACATTGTTTATGCCACAACCTAGATTTAAACAGCACTAACAAATGAGGTAGGTAAGAAACATGAAATTTCAATAAAGAAAACAACTCAGTTTGAACACTACTAAAAAAAATCCACAAAGTTATTAAAATTATACATTCCATTCACATCATACAAGCTTAGCCTCAAGCTTCACAGCAGAAAAGTGCCTTCCAAAACATCCCCCAAAACCAAATTCACAGTTTGATTTCTTTTTAAGAGGGTGCATGCTTCAAAGAGAAATACAATGAAAGCAACAGGGAAGGGAAGAAAAACTGGGCAGTAAATGTTTCACATTAAATGCAGAGACTCAAAAATACATAAACATAGTATTTTTCCTCCTTTGACAGCGCCTTTTACATAGGATGGGAGCAATCTTCAACTAAAAAGAATCCTGTTTCTCGCTTCTTCCCAAAGCCTGAAGATATGGTAATGCTATTATTGCCCATGTTTATATAGTTTTTTGTAGTGTTTCAAAAACCCATGAAATCAAAGCCTCTGAGACTTTTTCAGGGCACAATAAATTATTATCCACATCACGGTCAACCCTGTCACATCCTCTGAACTCTGACCACTTAAGACAGGAAGTAATCTTTATAAAAGGATACAGCTCCACTTCTCTTTTTTTTCCCACAGTGTGACAAAATCTCATTATGCTTTTCCACTTGAAATAAACTCAGCACATAATTATGTTAGATCATGTGTTCTGTGTTAATAAAGCTTATGAGAATAATAAGCAGGGGAAAGTATGGCTGTTTTTATCGGCAGCAACCACTTAGCATCTAATTCCAGCTTAAACTGAAATCACAGATACAAGTGGTATTGAAGGGATATGGCCATTTTTAAAGTGGGTATAGTGTCAAACAAGTTATTTCATGAATATCACTTTCATTCTCTTATCAGTAGATAGATAAGCCACCTATGGATTTCCAAAATCCTCAAGGGCAAAGAGTCAACAGCTCCTGTCAACTGTAAAACAGCTACTCTTTGAGGGAATTTTAACTAAAGCAGAAGGAAGAAAAGACTCATTGCAAAATCTGTATATAAGCTTTACTTAAAGGGCATTTCCTTCACTCACCCTTGGTATCCACGTACAGACAATAGGAATCAGGTTTTTGTTTCCTATTCTCATTGTTTGCAAAATGCATTATTATGCCAGACTTCTGCTTAATTTCATAACCAAGTTATTTCTGAATTCTACTCTAGAAGGAAAAAGGCTATGTAAAACTGACAGCTAATCCATATCATTTAAGATTTATTTTCACTTGCCTACTATGAATAAATCTTTAGTTCAATTGTATATTGATATTAAAAAAAAGCGCCTCAGGCTCCACACTTTAAATAATATAAGCAGGATTTTAATTTTTGTGCGTAGCCTAATTTGACCTAAATGGGTATTTTTTCCCTGTATTCTATTTTCTGTATTCTATTCAACATAACATGAACTAAAATAAAGCCCCATGTTTGTGGACTGTGATATCTACATTTTTTTTTTAAGGAAGAAGCAATATATTCTGTAATTCTCAACTGAGACAAATTACGCCAAAGACAAATTATTATGGGTTATGCCCCATGAAGGTCGGGAATTGAATTAGAAACAGCATGAGCAAGGCAAGAGGTGCCCAATCTTTTTCTTCACAACTGCTTTTTTTCTGAGGTGGGAATAGTCTAGTTTCAAAATTTCACCGAGAAAAACAGCAGGGAGTGGCTATTTTACAAGGAAGGGAAGGTGGAAATTCAATGTATACTCTTGCGGCCATAACAGCACTCTGTTATTGTTACACTGGTTTTCCTTCAACACTGAAGTACACTCTACAGTTTATTCAACAGTCAGGATTGCACAGATGCACTGTGTTACACTGTATTTCCCACTTCACAACAGAAACACAGTTTATATATTTGTGTGCCTGAGAGACCTAAATGAGCCATGGATCTTTAATACATGTACACCGATCTTTAAGGCCCTCATACTTCCTAGCAGCTTGCATTTTTAGGAAGGTCAAGTTACACGACAGCACATTTCAACTAGAATACAACATTCCGTGCTTTCCTACAAGTCAAAGTGAATTGGCTGTCAAAGAGTTTATTTAAAAGAGTATAAAGTGAAGAAAAAAAAAGTAAAGGTTGGAAGCAAATGTCACGTGAGCAGCTGTCTGCCCACTTGGTGGGATCTCCTTTCCTTCCTGTGGAACAGATTTTAAAGGCACAGATGGGGCTGTAGGAAGAGGCATAATCACCTCTCAACTGTTCTGTGAGTGGAAACTGCTTCTGCTCATGCAAATGCACCACTGAATTTCCCATAAATCATATGTAGGTCTTTTAAAAAAAATAACACTGTTCTTGCCTAAGTTCTTCAAATTGAAACTTTCTTCAAGGTATATATAATTTTACTGCTGCAAATCAGCAATGCACTTTTCAAGCATCATCAAAAGACTACAACTACTTTTTTCAACTTTCCAGTAAAAATCTGAAAAGATACTAAAGATTATCCATTACAAGGCACTGCAAATCTTTGCAGGCAGAACAAAGAGGCTGCATTAAACAAGGGAAGCAGAATCTTTGTCCAGAGTGCAGAGGGAAGAAAATATGTCTACAAACATACACAGGCGCTCTAGGAGTCACTAAAACTACAGATGCTGTTTTAAGAAACTATATTTAAACAAGTAGCTTGTGTCTGAAACTGATCAAAAACAGAAAAAAATTCTGCAGCAACTCTGATATTCCTGGCCACAGTACTATTAAACCAAATGGTACATTGATTTCAGATGTAAACGTGGTGTTTTAGATAAAATTCAATTGCTTGAAGTTCAGATACTTTGTATTAATTTTAGTGAAATTGAGCCTCCTTCTATCTCTTGCTCAAAATATTCATCTGTCAGCTTCAAACACGGCAGCTCTCTTACAATATTCAAAAGACGTTAATTTAACTCTGTATGTGAAATAAAGACAAGCTTTGCAGTTTTCATTCCAGATTAATAAAGGGGGAAAGTGAGCCTAGGTGTTATTTCAGCAAATACTTGAAAGACTTGCAACAAAGGAAGCAACCTATGAGCGCACAAAAGAGTACAATTTCCAACAAGAAAGGAATAAACTGATGATGTAATATAGAAAAAACATAAGAATGTTAGCTCCGGTGAATTATGACCTCCCTCATAGTCCACAGCCAATTAAGTTAATAGTGTACCATTAAACTAATTTTCTATCAAGGTGAACTCACAAGATCATGTGGCAGCTGAAATACAATAGATTAGTGATCATGTGAGGTATATACCTCCAAGGGAGGACGGCTCTTTAAGTTATATAGCAAATTTTTATATCTTTTAAGGATTTTGAACTGGCAAATTTTAGACTTTACATTATATCCAATTAGCAGCACTTGATGTAACTAAAAAACAGAAGGCCTGCCACATGGGATTCCAGCACCATAGCCTTATTGCCATACATACCTGTAGAGTTTTCTTAATTTGCAAACATAAAGATGGACTGCTTAATCTTGCACCTTGGCAATCAAGTTAAGTAGACACAGAAACATTTAATGCTGTGAGAAACAACACGAGGCATCTAAACTAGGAGACTGTATTTCACTAATCTGCTGTAAGGCAGTCCACTCAATGCAAAAACTATGTGCATTTAACCCTGTTTTAAACTAGGAGACTGTATTTCACTAATCTGCTGTAAGGCAGTCCACTCAATGCAAAAACTATGTGCATTTAACCCTGTTTCAATGCATAATCTTTTTCCAACATCCA